CGCTCCAGCCATGACTTCAGATAGGGAAAAGCAATGTGCAACCCCCGCCGTCCTCACAGTCATCAAAATGGATTCTGTCTTGTAGATATCACTGAAGTGCAAGGCCAAGACTGATTTAATTAGAAATAATATTTAACCCACATAAATACTATGTGTTCCTCTGCATGACCCAGTAAGCCAGACCTTTCTACTGAGCTCCAACTCCATGCTTAAGAGGTTTTTCTTATTGAAAGTCACCTATCTCTTCCCTCAAGAATGCCAGGATGGGGTTATGGTGGTCTCGTGCGGTGGTTCTCAAACTTTTATATACCAAGGAGTCTCCTGCGGATCAGTTCAAACATGGATTCGGGAGTTCTGGGGCCAGGCCTGAGACTCTGCATTTATGGCAAGCCCCTGGGTGACACTGACACAGACCTCCCTTGGAGCAGCAGGGGCCTGGTGGAGTCAGCCAGCGCCCCAGAGCTGAGTGTACCCCGGCCAGCCCTGACACTGGTCCCGTCTGAGCCCCGTCCTCTCTCCTCCCCACGGGAGTTCATGTCACTGCGTGCAGTTGCCGTGGGGATAAAATGAGAGAAACCATGTTTAAAACCTGTAACAACACATCATCTCAAAAGACACAAACAGTTAAACGATACTGTTCATTATCCTGTTTCCTAGGAAATGGTACCTTTACATGGTCTGGTGGTGGGATCAGGTGGGGGACAGGGGACATGACATTATCACTCTGGTCCACAGCGTCTGCTGGCTTCTGAGAAGTACTTGGTGGAAATATTGTTCTCAAGGATGTTGGGGGGATATTAGGAGCTTTAGAAATTTTGAAGCTTTTGAGATTTATGCAAAGACGTTTAAACTAGACTCTTTTCACTTTCTGGGAGTAATTTTTATTTTTAATGTCACTTATCGCAAAAGGAAAGAAAGAGATGAAAATAACCTTTCCGGTCGGGACTTTCTGACTGAGGATGGAAGTTGATAAGGACGATGATTAGCACAAAGGAAAACCCTTGGCCTGGTCCTCCCAGCTGCTCTTTATAGATGCACCACACTTCCTTAGTGGGCAGGAAATCCTGGGGAAAAGCTCCATCCTGATGACCAAGAGTGGCCTCCTCGGACCACGCTGTAAATGTCCATTTAATCCCAGCAGTGCAGGCTTTGCAATGTGCACAGCGGTGAGGGCTCCATCTGGGAGGACTGAGGTCTAACTCACATTCTGTCTAGGCTCTTCCCGGCCCTCTCTCAGCGGGGAAGCTGGATGGAATTCTGTGAAATGTCCCATCTCCTCAGAAGCTCAGGATGGACTGTTGAGAAGTGATGCCATCTTGACAATCACTAGAATGGCTATAGCCCAAAAAATGGAAAATCACAAGTACTGGTGAGGATACAGAGGAATTGGAACCTTTGCGCATTGCTGGTGGGAATGTAAAAGGGTGCAGTCAGTGTGGAAAAAGAAATTTAGCGATACTTGTGCACACATATTTATAGCAGCATTATTTAGCAATTCTACTCCTAGGAACACACCCAAAAGAATTCAGAACAGAGACTCAAGTAGTCACTCATACACACATATTCACAGCAGTGCTATCCACAGTAGCCAAAAGATAGAAACGCCACAGATGTCCAGGAAGAAATGAATGAACCCATTGTGGTCTATCTGTACAGTGGAATATTATTCAGCCATCAGTGAATGAGGTAATGAATCCCAAAAACATGATCACTGAAAGAAGCGAGACACAAAAGGTCACACATCGTATGATTGATTCTGTTTATCGGTAAATCCGTAGAGACAGAAAGCAGAGTGGTGGTTGCCAGGGGCTGGGAGGAAGGGGAATGGGGAGTGATTGATTAATGGGTTTGGGACTTCCTTTTGGGGTGAGGAAAATGTTTTAGAACTAGATAGAGGTGGTGGCTGCACAACATGGTGAATGTATTAAAAGCCACTGAGTTGTATCCTTTAAAATGGTTAGCTTTATGTTAAGTGAATTTCACTTCAGGAAAAAGAAAAGGTTACAGCATGCTCCAGAAAAGGGAAGACTAGAGTTTTTCATTCCAAAGTCAGACTCCCTAACCAAGAAATAAAGATGAGAAAGGAGTTTACTGACAATGAAAGGAAAATGATTACGTGATGTGGTTAGCCACTTTCCCCCATCAAAGGGAATTGAGGAAGGGTTAACGAATGCAGATAAGAATGTGGTTTTTATCAATAAGACGTGCATATTTCCATGTTGGTTAGTAGCAGATGTTCCCTTTGAGTTGGCTATATGAAATAATCCCACTGGTCACTGCTGCTTGTTTGGTTGGCTAAAAAATAATAATCCCACTGGATAGATATGAATTTATGGGCAATAAAAGTTAACAGTCCCAATAAGAAACATTTTATCCCCCAGAAGACAGCCGGTAGACACTAACAAACTGCAAGCCTCAACATAGTGAGGGAATGTAGAGCTTCGTGGCATAGTATGTAATCTGAAGAAGGGTATAGTCTAGCATAGCCACAAACTAAACAAAAATGAGCACCCCTGGGAAGGACCCACAAAAGTTGGAATCAAAACATGCTTTGTTCCCAAACTTACAACAAATGTCGAGTAGGAAACCACTAAGCATTGGAGATGGGACGAGCCTGGGATATCGTGCGCCCAGGGCCAGGGCCACTCATCTTCCGTGAGTCTCCTCACCTCGGTAGAAAGACGGTGGCAATAGCTTCCACTGTAGAATGTTCTCCAAAGACACTGAAGTGCCCAGGCTTCTCTATGACTTAGGAGGCCTGAGACCAGGCTGCCTGAGGTGACTACTGATGTGGCATTGACGGGACCCCTCTGGGACACATGGAGGGTAGAGGAGAACCCACCGTCTCTAAAACTCTGACTTCGGTCCAGATCAGGTTGCCCTGTGGGAGATTTCCCAGCTCCCCTTGGTTTGAGGGGACAGGGGTCCCAAGATTCAGGATACATCATCTTCCATCCACAGCCTTAATCTGCGTGGATAGCTTCCACCCCAAAAAATCGTCTTAACTCCTTCCCCTGATGCCTGGAGTCTAACATCTCAAGGAATTGCCATTGAGGAACGGTAATGAATTTGGAGATGAGATCTCCCCACACCCCTCCATGCTCCTGCCTCGATGACATTAACATTGTACCCTGGGATGCGTTTTTAAGTTCCCTGTTCACTTCAACTGTGTGGATTGCTGAGAATGGCATTATGAACATTCTGTGAAGACAGACACTTCTCAGCTGAACAGTTTACGCAGGAAAAGTTACCTGGAGGCAACAGAAGAAAAGCCTAGAAAAATGGCTCAAGTCCCGCTCAATCTCAGGGTGAGACAGGAATTTGACATTTCATAGCAAATGGGGCTTGGCAGGTAAAGGTGCCATGTGATGAATCAGTAGCAGACTCATTCGTCTCAAGAGGAAATCAGGATGTACATTTTTTTAAGTTTGGGCTAGCCTGTAAAATGTTAAAATAGAACTATAATACAATAGTTAGTTCCATCCATAGGAGAGACAGAACTCTCCCTCCCCTCTTTTCTCATTTTTAAAACATTTTTATTGTGGTAAATTTATTTTTAATTTTTTTAATGTAACATTTTAAAATTTTTGTTAAAATTTATGCATAAAAATTTATGCATAAAAATATGCATACGTCCTCACTTATGAGTGGCAGCTGAACAATGTGAACCCATGGACAGGGGAGGGGAACTACACACCCCAGGGCCTGTGGGTGGGTTGGGGGGAGGGAGAGCATCAGGACAAACAGCAAATACAGGCTGGGCCTAACACCTAGGTGATGGGTTGATATTTTATTGTATTAAGTTCCAGGGTACTAATAAAACAATAACATCGTAGTTACCCTTTGGGTCATATTGACGTGTCTGATTCAGTGGCATTAAGTTCTTTCATGTTGTTGTGCAGCCTTCACCACCAGTCCATCTCCAGAACTGTCTCATCTTCCCAAACCGAAGCTCTGTCCTCATGAAACACTGACTCCCCCTGCCCCTCTCGGCCCGGCCGGCAGCCCTCATGCTACTGTCTGTCTCCATGGGTTTGACTGTTCTAGGGACTGCATCTAAGGGGACTCTATACAGGATTTGTCCTTTCGTGACTGGCTCATTTCACTCAGTACAGAGTCCTCAAGGTTCTTCCGCGTCACAGCCTAGGTGACTACTTCCTTCCTCTTTAAAGGCTGAGTGCTGGTCCATTGTGTGGGTGTCTGTCCATTGTTGGACACTTGAGTGGTTTCCTTGTTTTGGCGGTTGGGAATCACGCTGCCGTGCACAGAGCGTACCAGTGCTAGCCCCTGCTTTCTCCATACCCAGAGGTGGAATCACGGGATCCTGTAGTGATTCTCTTTTTTAATGTGTTAAGGAGCCGCCAGAGTGTTTTCCAAAGCGCTACACCATTTCACTTCCCACCAGCAGCACACACAGGTTCTGATTTCTCCACATCCTCACAAATACTTACAATTTTTTTTTTAATAATAGCCATCCTATTTAGTTTGGACAAACATTTTTATATGTTTCAGAAGCTCATTTTTTTCCCTCTGTGTGAACAAAAGGAGAGATTAACCACTTAAACATCTGAGGGTCATTTTGATATCTGAATGCAATATGCATTTCCACACCTACTGTATGCATTATATTGAGGAAAACAGAGATAAAATTGTAGAAATTCATTTGGAAAATTTTTTATACTGAAAAGGCCTTTTTAAAAAAAAAAAACCCAAATAAGTTAATTATTTCATCCCAACCCAGTATTATCATTTCACAATGACATGACTTTAGAAATTTAGGATAATTTTTTTCTCACATTTCATATTTTCTCTTCTTAAACTCTGTGACTTCTTTGGTTAGCTATCATGGCAGTAGATGGTGGTTTACATATAATGTTCCCTGTAGATTATAACTCTTTAAAAACAAACAAACAAAAAAAGTAGTTTTGAAAGTAACCGTAACTGATCATGAGTATTTATTGTGATTAATTGAGGAAACTGAACCTATGTTGTTCCCACAGGGTCAGCCTGGGCCAGTGGGCCCCCAGGGGTACAACGGGCCACCAGGATTACAAGGATTCCCAGGACTGCAGGGACGCAAAGGAGACAAGGGTGAAAGGGGAGCCCCCGGAATAACAGGACCCAAGGGTGACGTGGTACGCACTGCTGTTGTATTCCCCTGGCCTCATGAGGGTGGCGGGTATCTCAGCCGTGGTTAATTTCATTTGCTTTCTCCATAGGGAGCAAGAGGCGTTTCTGGATTCCCTGGTGCCGATGGAATTCCTGTAAGTTTTATGGAAGATTGGAATTGTAAATCATTGCGTGCATTCTAGGCAATACATTTGTGACTTAAAGAAACATTTTGAATGAGACCTCCTTTTTTGTTTATAACATAAAATGTGTGGGGGCTATACGTGCGTATTCTCCCCACGGAATTCAGTCAGACAGTGAACAAATTGTTTGCTTTGTAAAAGTCCTTATAGACTTGGCTTCAGAATTGAGACCACTTTACTAAACTGCGCGTTGTTTGGGAATAAAAAGCTAGAGTGCTATCCAGATATATGCCCTAAAGAGCCAGTCTTGCGATCTCGTTTGAACTATAGAGCAACCTGCATATAAAGTCGTTCAGCCAAGAGCATGGGCAGAATGAAGCCCTGCTGAGCATTCGTGCAGCTTCTCAAGTTCTTTACAGCAACCTCACGTAAAACAAGAAAAAGAAAAGGCATGGTTTGTTCATGAGAAAAATCTCAAAATGCAATGAAATGTGTTTTTATAACCTAGTTTACTTTACTTCTTGTGGCATAAAAAAATAAACAAAACAGCCTGAGTCACAGCCTTCTTCACAGGGACCCACAAGCAGATTTCCCAGGGCTGGCTTCCTGGCCAGACCTGACCTCAGGGATCAATGTGTTTATCGCACATTCTGACCCGCCTCCCATCCGGCTACTGCTGTGGTTCTGAGACATCTGCTCCACAAACCTCACACATATACACAGATGTGTGTGCCCGTGTCCTGCAGAGGCAGGTTCTGTATCCCCACACACGCATATGCACAGGGAGAGAGACCCCGTTCCCAGGCTGCACGAGTAGGGCCTTGCAGAAGAGGAGGGAATGAGTGAGTGAGGGGCAGTCCCAGAGAACTCATGCGTTTCCATCAGATCTTTAGTCCCACTGTCAAGGCGACATCTGCAGAGCAGAAGGAGACAGGGCAAAATAGAGGAAGTCGCATTTGCCAGACAAGAGCTGCAAGCCAGTGATCTCGGGGTCACCTGAGTGGTGGGCTCAGACAGACACCTGGGTTCACACAGCCCTGAAGAAATAAGGAAATAACGTTCACATCAGTCAGAATCTTGAGAAATGGACAGAAATGAAGAATCTGCACCTTCCAAAGATTAAACAAATTAGGAAAGTATTTTCATATTAATGGTCTGAATCTAAATCACACATTTTTAAACTACTCTTTTGAACTCCTTAGAGCGTCTTTCAGTTTTGTCTCCAGCTGAAATCTGAGTTATAATGGAGTGACATTATGGAAAGCAATTGCAACTCATCTGTACCAGGTTTCCTTCATGTTTCCACTTTATACTCATTTAATGTCAGAGGCAAATGTCTCACAAACTAGGGAGGAACTAATCATAATTTGGAGGAATGATTGTGGTTAGCAGGTGAGGACCATTTTCGACAGAACCTGCTGCTCAAAGGGTCCAATCTCTCTTAACTGCAGAACTCTGATCCTACAAATTAAGTTAACATAAATGTCACCTGCCATAAGTAATCAGTTAATGAATGTAGAGTTTGAGGGACCTGGATCATTTTAGCTGATTAGAAGTTATATGTAAGAAGTGATATGCAGTAAAATCTTAGCGTGGTCTCATATCGCAGAGTATCTAATTAGATGTTCAGCAGAGACAAACATTTAACTCAATGGAACTGAAATTTTTCTTTGAAGCACAATTTCAAACTAAGATTAGATTGACATGCCATTTCAAATAACTTAGATCAGCTCTAAGCAAGTAAGAAAGACCAACAGCAGACAAATAATAGAGAAGAATTTAAATGTTACAGTTCATTTTAAGCAAAAGCATCCCAGAATACTGAAAATCTGGAGCAGAACATGTGGAGAACTGTTTTCTCGAGCTGAAGTGCAAGGGCCCCTTATGTCTTTATTTCAAGGGCCACTAGCGTGCCAGCTCTGCAAACAGATGGAGAAGCTGCCCACAAATGGGGATTCCTCTGGCTCACCAGAGCGTTTTACTGAAGCCTGTCAGATCTCTCATCTGATGGTACCAGTTCAACCAATGGCTGTGGACATCGGAAGCAAAGAGATGTGCAAATAAAAGTTCCACTTTTTTATTGTATTTCTTAATATCATTGAGGTTACGGCACTGTATGTAGGATTGGTTGCGTGGGGTTTTGGAGGTTTGTTTGTTGTGTTTTGTTTTGTTTTGTTTTGAGACAGGGTCTTGTTCTGTCGCCCAGGCTGCAGTGCAATGGTGTGATCTTAGCTCACTGCAACCTCTACCACCTGTGCTCAAGCAATTCTCATGGCTCAGCCTCCCGAGTAGCTGGGATTACAGGCACTCGCCACCATGCCTGGCTAATTTTTGTATTTTTTGTAGAGACAGGGTTTCACCATGTTGGCCAGGTTGGTCTCGAACTCCTGGCCTCAAGTGATCTGCCTGCCTCGGCCTCCCAAAGTGCTGGGATTACAGGTGTGAGCCACTGTGCCCAGCCAAGTTTGTTTCTTTATCTTGACATTTTCCAGATTCCTCAAAGTAAATATAAAAGACATCCCAGTGACCTCAAAAATCACTCTGGAATGTATGTTTGGTTTATTATCAAGAAAACTAAAAGTTTAACAGTAACTACACAATAACAAAGCATATAGCTAAATATCTATTGTTTAAAAAAACAGTAAAACAGGCTGTGGCCAGGTAGTACATAAATTATAGATCATTAACCCAGCCCCTGTAATCTCCTGGAACCAGTTTAAGGCAGTGAAAATGCCCACAAATTTAGCCTGAGTCCCTCTAGTCACTGCAGACACTTGGCTGTGTTGTCTTTCCCACCCCCAGACATTTCAGAAAACCTGACATGCTTCATAATTCGTGTTTAAACTCTAAAAGGTCATGTTTCCCAAGAAAGCAAACAAGAGGCAGTCAGTTCTTTTAAATATGGCAAGGCCACGGATAAAATCACGTTGTGGGTGTGTCTTCTCTGTTTAGGATGTGGATCTGTGAAACTCACTCTCTAAAATGTAGTTGGGCACAACTGATAAGGACCTCCCTGTTACCCCCTGAGAAGGAGGTAGCTGCTTCTGAAATCTCTCCTAGAATTTTTTAAATGTACCTTTACTTGTTTTCTACAGGGATAAGGACCTTTCTGTTACCCCTGAGAAGGAAGTAGCTGCTTCTAAAATCTTTTCTAGAATTTTTGAAATGTTAATTTTACTTGTCCCTGCTAATAGACAGTCACTCAACTAGTAAGACAGAAGAAACCCTGTGTATTTCTCATCCAAGCCCACGTAAAGCAGAACTTTGCTTCGAAATCCTTTCCCTGCTTAGAACTATGCCTTATGCCTTCACTGATTTAATCTTTCATTCATTCATTTGTTCACTTTTGAGGTGTCTTTTCCTTGGATTCATGCCGGGAACGTGGCTTATGAGAATATTTAAGACTGTTTTATCACACGTGGCAACTAGAAACCTGCTGGTTGGCTGATTCTCTCACTGCTGTCTTTCCCAGGGACACCCGGGGCAAGGTGGGCCCAGGGGAAGGCCCGGCTATGATGGCTGCAACGGAACCCAGGGAGACTCAGGTCCACAGGGGCCCCCCGGCTCTGAGGGGTTCACCGGGCCTCCCGTGAGTATCCCCACAGTGCCTGTGCTCCAGGGACAGGCAGACCCCTGCTAAGCCCTACCTTTATAACCGGGGCGGGGGGGGCTCCCGCTCATTATGGCCAGAACGGAAACATAACTGCCTGTTGACGCCCAAGACATGATGTTTCTGGATTCAAATAACTTCATTTTTCATATCCTTTAAATGTTAGATAGAAAATCGTTGTGGTTGATGTTGTTCACTCTCTCAGTTTCCTAAGCGTCACTTCATTTTCTCCCAAATTCTCATAATGAATAGTGGAATCGTAAAATGAAAATTAAAAAGCTGAAACCTTGACAGAATTCTGTCCATCACCATCCTTATCAGATTCTGAAATACTTTGTAATGTGGGCGTGCAGTTATTCTCCAGCAGATACAAGGCAGGAGTTTGTTTTTTAATGGAGGAACTTGTATATAGTCATCTGTTTTGTAGCCTCATTTATTTTTTTAAGGTCTTGGTAAAACATCCTGAAATAATGTCTTCAGCAGTATGTTGCTACCTTATTTCCAAGAAAATCTTGCAAATTCAGGGTTTTACTAAAATTTTGTTTGGTGAGACTTTTTATTTAAAAAAAAAAAAAAAAAAAAAACTAAAGTGGGGAGGGAGGAACAGTCATTAATCACCTTCATCACGTTTTCACCTGAAGCGAGTAGATTTCTCCTCCTGCTCAGTTCCAGCTCCACCTGCCAGTTCCCCTTTCCTCAGCTGTTTCTGTTTTATGTGGTTCAATTTTTCAATAAACTACATCAACTTCTCTATATATCATCAATTTCATTATCAAGAAACATATCTATTACTTTAAGTGGTTCTTATAGTAGATGTTGAAAGATATTTACACATGCACATATGTATATACCTACCGTTTATATTTGACACAATTCCAGTTTTAAAGAATGACCCAGTATCTATCCCGCAAATGGGTGCTTGAGTTAATACATTTAGTACACTCATGCCAAAGAAAGCACATAGTAGTATTATCAGAATAAAAATAACATTGGCATACTAGAGGGTTGGTTGACAGAGATTCATTTGGGTTTTGAAAATAATTTAAATCCCAAAGTATTTCTATTCTAACTCTAGGAAAGATACGATTGGGTCAATAGGAAATTAAAGGTGTCTCCCTGGTTGCTGAATATGGGGCTGGTGTTCAGAATAACCCCCATCAACCATAAGAACAATTAGACCTTGCCTACAAAAGTCAGTGTTCCATCATCCAAATTATCATAGATGCACCGAATGTTAATGGACTTTTTTTTTTGTTTTTTCTTTTTACAATATACTGCTAATTAGGGGCCCCAAGGACCAAAAGGGCAGAAAGGTGAGCCTTATGCACTGCCTAGAGAGGAACGCGACAGATATCGGGTACGTTTGCAAGAGATGGGAGGGGTAATGAAGGGACCCAGTGTAAATTCTCAGCTAGCAAAGTTAATTGCCAAGTGAACTTTGCATGTAAGAATGAATGTACTGAAGGCATGCCGAGAATGGCAGCATAACCCAAGTCACATTGAATGTAAAAGTCATCTTGTTTCTGATCAGGATGTTTTCAATCTTATTTTTAATTGTGTGTTTATCTCTTTCCCATATTCACAATACTCCAAGCCAAGTTAGTATTTGTACTTAATATTAGTAAATATTAATATTACTAAAATATATTCTGACTAAATCACAATATTAGTAAAAATTAATATTAGTAAGTTAACATTACTAAGTCCTGATAGGGCTGATCTGTTTGATATGCTTATTTCCAACTGCAATAGAAGGTAACTAAATCTGAAGATGGTTAAAAGCTATCACTCTTAAAATTATTTCTTCTCCGTTAGGGCGAACCTGGGGAGCCTGGATTGGTCGGTTTCCAGGTAAGTTTATTTTTATTAGACGAAATTCAAAGCAAAAGTTTAAGAGCTTCAGAACTCCAAGTACCAGTTTACCTCTCTTAAAAACATTCTCTCGCTACCTATCCATAGGGACCTCCTGGCCGCCCTGGGCCTGTGGGGCAGATGGGTCCAGTTGGAGCTCCAGGGAGACCAGTAAGTACTGGGACACAGGTGCCGACTCTGGGACCATCATCAGGTCATCCCTTCCAGATACCACTTCTTTAGGGGTTGAATCCAGATGAGAGCTTTAAGAATAATTATGATGCTTACAGGTGTAGCAGAGAACATTAAAACGGACCATTCCTTGCACACATTCTGCTGCTGTTAAGGTTGAAGAATAAGAGCTTAAAATTATGGTCACCAGCTCAGTGCCAGTTATGTCAAATTTTGACTTGGTCCTGGCAGGGTGCCCTTCCATCCCCACCCCATATCTACCCAGTGACAAAGAGCCCATCATCCCTGGGCAAGGCAAACCAAACCCACAGGTTCATAAGGAGGAAATGGGGTTGGCCTGGGCCACGCCGGTGCTAGCAGGCGTATCACACCTGGGCTCATTCCAGCAGGTGAGATATTGGCCATTGTTTAACAAAATGGCCCTTGAGGGCTCATTGCAAGTAGGAAAGAGCAGAAAAAGGCACTTGCTAAGGCTTGTGCAGCTCTCTGGCCACTCCCACCACTGTACAGTGACCTGGAAGGTGAACTGGCCACTGTGAGAGCTCCTGACTCTCATTCCCCACATGTGTTAGTAGTCGGATAAACAGGCCTTAACTTATACAAGGAGAGATCTGGGCTGCAGGTAAGACAGACCTTCTCACAGGAAGCCATTGCTCAAGACCAAGACAAGCTATCAAGGGACACTAACACTAATTCCTTGACAGATACTGAGGGAAAAAAATGAAGTCATATATATTTGGGGAGACTCAGTCAAACTAACAGTTGGGGGTGGGGGTACTTATTATTTTCTTCAGATTATAATAAATAACAATAATAATAATAGATTTTGTTTCTACAAAGCAAAGTCATTTTTGCAAGTAGCCCCATCTGTGAAAGACCTGGTCAGGGTGACTGAAATCAGGATCATACGAGACGCCCTTACTGTTTCACTCCATTCAGTTGTCGGCTTAGTCACAGCACACATGCCACATGCCTGGGTTTCATACTTTAAATGCACAGCTCAGAGAAGTCAGGCACAACAGATTGTACTTGCTAGGTCCTTAGCTGCTCTGACAGCTTTTGGTTCTTCACATGAGCCAGGCAATCATCCACAACCCCCTCCTTGTCTGCTCCTTTGTATCCACTTATTTGTACTTAAACACTCTTCTGATCTGAAATGCTTTACTCCTAAGCACGGTGTTGACACTGAATGCTCTGCAGAAAGACACACCGTGACATTGCAGATGGACTTTCCACCCTGCAGTGCCAGCCTGTAGATTCATTCTGTCCATGAACACTGGCCGAGCTACCAGGAAGAAGTACCGCATGGAGTCTCGTGGGGACTCCCAGAGGAACTCGGGGAAACTGTCTCTGCAGTCACAGGGCCTGGGACCTTGCAAAGGGATCAGAACAAACACAGAGAGGACATGGGTGAAGTGGAAAGCCTAAACACACAAAAGCAAAGCAGAAACAGCTGTCCGTAGACAGCCGGCAGATTCTGAGAACTGGAGCTGACCCGAGTCCCTCTCCCCAAGCATATCATCCCTGCCAAGCCAAATGCATCAGAAACCTCCATGCATCCTACACAATGTCCTAAATGTACAGTGAATGGCTTTCCCAGAGCTTTCCAGCGGATGTTATCTGGGTCCTGGGGTAAAGAAAACAGTTTACACATTTCTTTGTATTTGTACAGGGACCACCCGGACCCCCTGGACCAAAAGGACAGCAAGTAAGTTGGTTTTGGGGGTTGAGGATGAGGGAAGTTGGTACTTAGGTGTTTGTGGGTCTGTTTTTTACCATAAAACTTCTTGGTTAACAAGTATTTATTGTTTATATTATGATGAAAACGGTTTTGTAGGTTTTTAAGACTTAATGTTAAACTCCAAGGATAGATCCATGGTGCCTCTGGACATTAAAAAAGTGAATAGGTGGAATGATTTGTTGTTTGCAAATTAATTCCCACATGCCTGTTGCTATATGAAAACCAAACGGATGAATATTTGATTGAAAATGAAGATTAGAACAATTTAGGGACAGCTCACATTTATTCAATTGCATTGATTTACGAGAATGGACAAAACGTAACTCTATCTGTTGTAGGGAGGCCAATGTCATTCTTCTTACCCAACTAGAATTAGGTTCTACAGGAGTCTACTGTCAGCCTCTAGGGATATATTCAGTGATAGTCAAGTTAGGCTAGAGCCCAAAGCTATATACTGTTTTCATCCCAGAAAGGTTATTAAATTGGTGGGAACACAGCAAAGTAGGTGGTTTGTTAGAAACTCGGAGGACAGAACTAGGGTTCCTTATTATCTGGGAAAGCTGGATAAATATCCAAGACAAAGAATGCAGTTGACAAGGGAAGTATTTGATCAAAATGCAACATAATTCAGAAATGCTGGGCTGCCAACGGGAAGCATCTAGGAACCTTTCCCTTGCCCTGTGTCCCGATGGAGGACGCGCCAAGGCCACACATTGCCATGCCTGCCCATTGCTGTGACCCCTGGTGACCACAGCTGCCACCGCCCATGCCCCCAGGCTCCTGTCCCCTCTGACACGGCTTCCTGTCGGCTGGGGAGCTTGCGCAGGCTGCTGGACGCCCCACCGCCTGGCAGCCTGGAGCAGGATAAGATGGGCTGCAGGCCAAGAGCAGCAGAAATAGGACCGGGCGGCTGGGCTGAGGAGGCAGCAGCCAAGCCCTGAGCCCAGGCGTGAGCCTCAGATCTCCCCTTGCTGCAGCAAACATAAACAGCCCTCCTCACCCCTGACCAAGTCACTTCCTGGTGACTTTGACGACCAGCTCAGGAGGCAGAGAGGGACCGTGGGGGACTCACACAAATTGCATTCTAATCTAGCCTGGCTGTGTTTCTGGGCTTTGATTTCAGCTCCCCGCCAGGTGGGGAAGAAGCAAAAGGCAAAAATTCATTGAAGGCTTTGTTCGTGTTTTCAGAAAATATCTGGACATTGGAGGGGGCGGACGGTAGACTGCAGAGAGAGAGCTCAGATAGGACCTGTGTGACCCTGCTGTCACTGTGGGAACACAGCAACCCTGGGAAACAAGCAAAGCTGTTGGGAGTAGAAGAGGACTCTGCCTATGATGTGCACAAATTTGTCGTCTTGCTTTTTCTATGCACGAATCTTAGAGGTCAGCGTTGTCAGTCCTCCCACACATGGCTACTGCGTTCATGAAATGATTAAATCCTTACTGTGACACTGGGCCTAGCTTTGCTTCTTAAGCAAAAAGGAAGACAAAAAGGCTGGGGAAAACCCGGAGAATCACCTAAAATCATTATATTCTGATTGATTTTAAATTTCCAAAGATTATTAAAAAGATGGGTAGAGTTTATATGAAATGAGGATTATTTTGCCAAAATGAGAGAAGACTGAGCCAGAAGAAAAGACGAATCATGGTCTTCAAATGCAGAGTCCAGGGAGTGAAATGGGGCTGCTTCCTCTATCTACAGGGGCCAGAACCCAGGGACATGTTTTTAGACTACAGTCTGCAGAGACCATATACTCACAATTGAGGGCCAGCACCTCCTGGAGTCCAATCTCAGCTCCCACTCATTCACTCTGAGGCCTCGGTCAACCGATAGGACAAACTGTCAGTTAGTTTCTACAACGCAAAGCAAGAATATTATGAAAATATAGTTGCTCAGTAAAGTTGCCGATACATAGGTCTCGGGTATCTTTTTCTAAGAAAAATAATTTTATTTCTCTCTGATTATTAGCTTTTTAAAACTTACAAAAATTATTTATCTTTTCAGGGCAACAGAGGACTTGGTTTCTACGGAGTTAAGGGTGAAAAGGTAAAGGAAGCCTGGTCAATTCCAGCAGAAGCATGCAGCATTTCTCAGCCAGGAAATAAATCATTTTAATTACTAAGTTCTGTGCTGTAAAACTTTTACCTTGAGTTGGTCTGCAGACAGACCATTTGCGTAGGGAAATAATCATTGCAAAGTGCTAAGTTGTCACCCACATGCCAGTGATAATTCTACATCAACAAGACGGTAAACATGGACCATCTAGGCTAGCCGAGACTCTGACACAGAGACATAAACTCAGCTCATCTTCAGCAGGTGGAGGTGAGGACATGCCATCGAGGGCATCTTCTCATGTGTGGAACCCAGAGGTGATTGAGGGGTCTGAGACTAGAACCAGAGACTGACATGGAGCCATCACAGGGACCAGGGGATCTCAGGGACCAGCCCTGGTAGGCCACAAAGGCAGCCATAAGGACCATGTGGCTTTTCTCCTTAGAACAGTGAATCTTAGAACAGTGCTAAGATTCAAAGACCTCATGACCTTTGAGAGGAACGTGTGAGATCACATGCACGACAGGCTTGATGCAGCGCCCACACCTCGCAAGCAAAACCTCACCAACACAGTCCCATTGTGTTCACCACAAAAGCCATGTACCCACTGTGAAATAGACCTGTCCCTTGGCCTCATGACTGGAACATTTCTATTTTGTTTTCCATTCTGCTTTTTGATGGAACAGCACAGAAAGTTGAATCAAGTCCTGCTCATGTTTGAAGAGGAAACTCTTCCTTCTTTACATTAATGCCATAGAAGAAGTCAGAAAAGAACAATTAGCAAGCAGAGGGCTTCTGGGAAAAAAAGAAAGAAAAACATTGAAGATCCAAACACATAAAAATGTATAGCCCCATACGATGAAATATAACAACATAATAAAATAAAAACAAGTGAAATCTGGGAAGAAATCATTGGTGGGAGAAGAGAACAGTCCTGTTGAATATAATGGAGATTAAGTTTGAGTCTACAATCTACAAAAGGCTTAGGCAAATAATTAGCAAAGAACATCAGCAGCCCAACAGGTACAAGGGAGGAGAACAAACAGTTTGGGTATTTTAAGATACTCTATTAGTGGACACTCAGCGTGCACTGTGGAGTATCACTTTCTGCAGCTGATCCATCATCCCCTTTACTGCTGTCCATGTTATGTGATATCCGGGCTCAGACTTGTATGATATAGTTTAATGTGGAAACAAAGGAAAAGACAATAATGTTCTTTTTGTGTCCGTTTCTGGGAGGTAAAGCCAGAATATTATGCAAGGATAGTTGTCCAGTAGTGTTTTAGATAGATTGGTTTCACCATCTGCGCACCACGTCAAAAAGCGTTTTCTGCTAATGATGAAAATGCAAATTAAAGCAATCTTGGGATATTATCTTTATTCAAGATTGCTTTTTATTATATAAAAACATCTTTAGCTGGGGAAGTAGTCTTTCATTTTTTCAGCATTTCTTTTATCTTGGTGCCCATTTTGGCAACCGGTAGAGTAATACCTGTCAAAAACCATGAAGACATTAAGTCTTCATACCTAATAATTCCCATTTGTAGAAATTCATTGTAAGGCAATAACCCCACAGAAACAAATGCAGTTCAAAATTGTGAACAACCTTCATGGCCTTTATGCATAAATTCTAAATGATTGCTAATGAGAGGAGGATACAAAAGGCTTACACCAGGATTACTCTATTTTGTGATTATTATACTATAAAGAGGTATACATATGGTAAATAATATGCAAAAATTAAAACGCCAGTATTTTGGCCGTATTGTGTTTGTATTCGAGTTTTGTGGTTTCCTTTCTATTTAAAGACAACTACTTTTGCTAAATAACTTGCAGGGTGACGTAGGGCAGCCGGGACCCAATGGGATTCCATCGGACACCCTCCACCCCATCATCGCGCCCACGGGAGTCACCTTCCACCCAGATCAGTACAAGGTAAAGAGCAAAATTGACTGTTTTCCTAGTTGAACTAAAAAAAGGAGAGTAAAAGTAAATTTCTTCAATTGTATTCAGTCACATTCCCAGGAGAAAAAGCCTCACCACCAACTTGGAAAATTACGCATGAAAACATAACCGCGTCCTCCCAGAATGTTTTCAACGCCTGCAGACAGTTACTAGACCCACAGTGCAGTTGCTTCGTCAGTCCATCGTCTCAGACAATTGTGATGAATCCGAAGCAACATGAGAATTCATCAAAAAATACAAACCTCACATCTATCCTTCCGTTCAGTGTAGATGGAGGCTAATGGTCATACCGTAATTCAAAGCCAGAATCACAGAACTATCTAGCAAAATGTGTTCAGCAAAATAAAACCTACTTCTTTGCTGACATGAAGCACCTTTTGGAGGATCAAAGTCAGTTTTTGACAGTTTCTGAATCGTTCAATTAACATTTTGCTTAATTGAAATCATGCTCTTAGTCTGAAATAGGAATTGCCGTCCACTCTGCCTGGGTTTGAAGGCTTCTGTGCCACCCACTCGCTCAGGGAGGTCCTGCAGCCTTCCTAGGGCTTCCTGTTCTCCTTGTCAAACGGGGATGGTGACACTGACCTGGAGCTGACGAGGAGGTTGCAGGCGACTGTGAAACACTCAGTACCATGTGGGGCACACAGAACACCTGGGAACTAAAATAGAAACCCCAAATGTGGAGATCTTGTCTTTCCAAATAGAATGTGATTCCCAACTCTTGAGCATCTGTCAGGATGGGGCTTGGGTCCTGGGTCCTGGGTCCTGGGGCCTGGGGCCTGGGGCCTGGGTCCTGGGTCCTGGGGCGGATTTGGCAGGCAGGACCACTGCCTTGCGGGGGAAAACAACCTAGGTGGCTATGGCCCAAATGATGAGTGACTGTTGACAAAAGTGTCCTGGGAGGCGGCAGGGAGGGCCTCTGTCCAGCTTCTGGATGGGAGCCCAGAGCAGGATTGATGTGTATGAAGGTGCTCAATCTGCTGAGTCAGGCTTCCCACCCTGTCTACAACCCAGGCCAGGGTGGGATCCAGGGCTGAGCATGGCCAACCTGCAGGGACAGTTGTGAGCTGCAGGAATCGAAGGTACCTTCCAGGAATGACGGGGACAGAGGCCCCGCCAGCTGCTGTTTCTTTCACCATTTTAGACACAGAGAAGTGGGAAAAACGTAGGTCGTGTTTTTGATCTATGATATTGACGTGGCTTTCAACAGCCGCTTTTGCTTCAGTATGTTCCATGTGTATCTTTTCCTCAGAGGACGTCCTAGTAATGTTTTCTTCCAAAGAGTATTTTCATTAAGGCTTTTCCTTGGACACGTTCTCCCACCATACGGATGGAAACATCTGCCTGGAGCTGTGTGGGGGATAAAGGAAAACACAGAGAGGGAAAGACAGACTTTCACCTGTACCAAGAGGAATACATGAATTAATTTGTCTTGTGAAAATCTAGAAGAAATAGCACATCTTTTCCCTTGAACTTTGAAGCTGCAAAATTTAAGAGTCATGTGTTGCAATCAATTGATAATAATTGAGGATTGATTCAGTACTCTCAGCCCATATAATGAACCCTGATTGATTTTTACCCGTTACCATCCTTAAATTAATAAGCATTTCTTATTTTTCATATTCTTCACAGGGTGAAAAAGGCAGTGAGGGGGAACCAGGAATAAGAGTAAGTCGAGTAATGCACCTGCTCCCTCCCCTGTGGCTCCTGGGCGCTCAGCGCTCTGCCCGGAATGACAGGGTGCGCCGTGCGCTCGGGGCCCGCACACCGTCAGTCTCTCATCCCCTTGTCCATAGCAGGACAGTATTAGCATGCATTTTTACACTCTGTTTCCAGAAGTCAGTTCTAGAATGTCTTCCTCTTGGTAACGTAAACACCGGCTAATCATCTCCTGAGGTTTGGGAAGGGAGCGTGAAGATGGCAGAGGGGCGTGGCTTCCATTCAGGCGCCACCAGGTTCTGCCCTCTGTCCCCTCTGTCACTGCCTGTCCTCAGAGCTTCACGGTCACTTACCACGTGATGTGACACACGCAGTCCTGGATGGGTGACAGCCCAGGAAGGCTGGCGGGTCTCCTAGGACTGTGCCCTGCACTGCGCCTGAGTTGAGCATCACCAGGCGGTCTGGACACCATCGGGGCTGAGGACACAGAACCCTGGAGCAGAGGATGACACGTGGGCCCTGCCGGCTGGAGGGGCCACCCCTGGGCTGCTCCTTATGCCCCTTCTGCTCTCTCCTAGGGCATTTCCTTGAAGGGAGAAGAAGGAATCATGGGCTTTCCTGGACCGAGGGTAAACCACGCCTTTTATAACTGCAGTTGTTGGTTTGGTTTGGTTTTTTTAAGTAGGCTTTCCTTTTTAGAGCTGTTTCAGGTTCACAGCAAAATTTACCAGAAAGTACAGAGACTTCCCATTATTACTCCCCCTCCGACACACACACACAGCCCTCCAGCACGAACATCTTGCTCTGGGGGCTGCACTGGCTACAATCCTGTGAACCACCTTGACACACCCTCTGTGGAGGAGGCGCGAGTACCGCACAAACCTTCCTGCTTGTGTGCGTTCAGCTCAGTTAGTCTGTGGTAACCAAAAATGTAGAATATCTTAAACACACACTGATTTCCAGTGGTCCCAAGAGCCCAACAAAAATGTCCCTAGTTGTAAGGGGCAGGAAGGGGTCCCTGTCCACGGTGTTTCAGCCACCTGAGAGACAGACCTCACCTTCAGAGCCCCAGCCTGGACTGACCCCACTCACTCCACGACCACACCTAGCTGAGGGCTGGGACAGGTGGGCAGAGCCCTGGGCCCAGGAAGAGAAAGCTGAGTTTTGGTGACTATTTGGCAGTTGCTACCACTCAAAAGACCATATTTTACATTCTCCAAAAATAAGAATAGAGAGACACAGTAGAACATTGGAGTACAAGCCTTTTTGTATTTTTAGTTTTTTATTGTGCTGTCTTGGTGGATTTCTCTGTATTTCTTTAAGTGGTAGAAATGATGCGTGTTCTGAAAGCATTGCTAGAATGATGTATGTCCCTGAGGAAATGGAAGTCTTGGGATGGCTCTGATGCCTTCCGTAGTGAAGCAGCTTTGCGATTAGGATGGATTCTGCTTTCTTTGAGCCTTTTTATCATAGTCATCATTTCCCACCCCCACCCCCCCCAACTTTGTAAAGAGGGAAGAATTGTATTAATAGTTGGTATTGAATTTGGCAATTTGTTCCTATTCTTCAGAGTCTGGACCTGAGGCTTGTTCAGTCTGTCTGTCAGCATTTTGCTGTAGTCACAGCCAGGTGCCGTAGTCAAGCCTCTGGAAATGTTACTGCATATTCTGAGCTGTTTGCTTCTGTTTTTTGTTCACTCCAGGGTTCCCCTGGCTTGAGTGGTGAAAAAGGATCACCAGGACAGAAGGTAAGCTGGGTGCATGAACTGCAGTCTGCTCTGGGCCCACGACATCCCACAGAGGTTAAGTAAGTAGGCCTTGGCA